TGACACCTCCAAGCTCGAGGGCACGGTAGCTGGATGCATCGAATGGACCAAAATTGAGGTTTTGTTTCCATTATGTGTTAGCTGAATTTGCATTTTCTTTTACTTATTTCATTTCAGTTTTCCCTCATTTGTTCTTGGTTTCTTGTAAACTTTTCTTGCAGCCCATCATGCGCCCCGTTTCGCGGGAAAATTTGGATTTCTTGCTTGAGGCTGAAGAAGTCAAAACCCAAGTATGCAGCAACTTGAATTGTTCTTCTTTGCTTTCCTTTATTTTAAGAATGTAATTTTCTTGCGTTATTCTGGGGTCATTCTTGTTTGTTATGCAGAGCTGTTGTAGCCCCTTTTCCTGCCTTTTTTTCCCCTCCCCCCTTTCTATTTACCGTCTGTCTGTTATATGTTAATGAATTAGCCAAATACGTAGCATGTAACGATGTTGCAAAGGATGGTTCCGGTGATTTCGATTATGTTCAATGCATGAGTTCTCCGAGTAACAAGGCGGCATTGTGTACAACTTGAATTAGTTGTGTTCGCAAGTAATATTTCATGCATTTCGTTAAACTACTTATTAGTTATCAACATGTGATAAGGCCTCAATCATGTTCTCTTCTCCTTTGCAAGTTTGTGCTACATTAGAGGACCCCTTCTCACTTAGTTTTTATTTTGTTTCTCTTTCCGTGTGCCATATTTTCATGCGGCAAGAATTTTATTCCTAAACAAGGAATGATATTTTCATTTTTAGCCGCAAAATCAAAAGTAATCAAGGAAAACAATGATTGCATTTGAAGCAGCTTAAGGGTGACAAGCTCTGAATCCCTCTAATGCAGGTGAAAGAGAGACTAGAGTTCATGGATGTCTAATTGAGATTTACAGCCCCATGGCAGTGGTAAATGAAAAGCCATTCCTTGGTGGTCAAAATAGTAGACACCAATGGCTGTGGAAAAGTAAAGATCTCAAAAACAACCTAAGGAAAGTCCATGTTCAAAACCTTACAAAAAGTAAAGGGAGGAGGAACCAAAAAAAAAAAAAAATCAATATTTCTGCCTCTGAATTGGTTATGTTGTCAATGCCCAAAACCCTTAGTCCCTTACCACAACTAGGAAAGAAGAGAAAGCATTTGACATACCAACATATCTAAGATTGATACAATGAATCAGAATAAGTAGGAAAAAAGTAGCCTATTTACTCTTTCTTTTATGTACAACTGCTACAAAATAAGATGAATGAGATTAAACTTATGATTCCAAAAGAGGGGAGGTTTGGGACGTAAATGGGCATGCTCCATGAGATGTGCAACATTTTGAAGGGGGAAAATAAGCAAGAAAAGAATTTAAGTGAAAAGCAGATAAGACATTACAAATGATCAAAACATAGATAAATTATTTAAAGCCTCCGAAATTCATTAAGAATTGTGATAAAAGCATACCCAAGAAAAGCAAATGTTTGGAAATTTACTCTCCACGGTGAACCTTTTCATGCTATTGAGCTAACAGAATGAGTCCATACAAGTTAAATTACTTTTGTTCTGTTGGTATATTTTGGCATCAGATCAATCTTGTACATGATGTTTGCTTTCAGGAATCTGGTGTTGTTCTTGTTAATAACAACGATCTGGGTACATTAATGGTTACAAATTTTCGCCTCCTATTCGTGGTAAGTATTTCATGTAATATATCCTGTCTTATATCTAATTTTGATAGGGCACCATAAAGCAGATATCCTGAATTTGTGATTTGCAATTTTCCATAACTTGAAAGCTTGATTTCCATGCAAAGAGGAGTGCAATGATGTGATGTTAATATAAAATGGTGGCCTGCAGTTTCAGCTGATTTTTTATGTTTCGAATTGTGAATTAGGATTGGCAGCTAAGAAAGTTGTTGAAATGCATGTTTTAGGGGTGTATATAGGAAAGGACAGAAAGATTTTGAAATAAATTCAACCACGCATCACTTGACATGGTGAAGATCTTGGAGTTAGGATTATTTCAGTCATATATTTTGGAATCCTTTAATATTTTTTCCTTGATAATAATGTCTTTTTAACATTCACTGGAAATAAGGTGCTATTGGGCTTGCAATTATAATCTCAAGACGCTTCAAATTATGTGATACTAATATTTCAAATGCTAGCTGTACGCTATTTAACTGTGTTCAGATCTTGGTCCAAGGATTCAGTGATCTAGCTCCTGAGTGTCTGTTGCTGAATTGTGTGTATTTATGCATATCTATAATTATCATATGTGGGTATTTGAAATATTGTACCTTATTATGTATGTAAATGCTTTATTGAGTTTTTACATATTGATTTGTTCTTTTACCTTTTCAAGAGCGAGAAAACAACAAAAGTTATTGCCCTTGGAACAATACCACTTGCAACAATCGAGAAGTTTACCAAGATAGTAAGTTCATAAACTTGCATATCATGCTAAAAATTTGTGCTTAAGTTTTCTGTTATTTAAATATGTTGCATTAGATTGTGTTAGACCCTCTTCTCTTGTCATCCTATTTTACATCTGTGTTAATATAGTTTTCATGTTATGAACTAGAAATAGAAAAATATGCATTCATTGAAATTTATAAAGTATTTTGAAATGTTATGTTCTATAGCAAGTTTTTGTCTTTGTACTGTCAGTACTTGAAGGTTTCATGCAGATCCCTCTAGTCTGAGTTCTCCAGTCTTCTGTCCTGTTCCATCCATCTATCTCCATAATTGTTTAATTTTTCCCATTCCAGTGTCTGAGTATTTTTCCTGTCAGGATTATGACAATTTTCACATGGTTTTGGAATATTGTAAGGTGAAGTTACAATCTTTGTCTCAAGAAATTGTGATTGATGCATCATATTCTTCAAGTGAAAGTTTGGCACAATATAAGAGTGGATGATGGAATTTAAATTTTTGACATTGAAATTTCTTAAGAAGTTTAAGATATGGAATTGTGATTTTTAGGAATGCTGGTATCAGAAAAGAAGAAACTTTTGGACAGTTGACTTTTTATAGAGGGGAGACAATGTGGTCTTATAAGTGATTGGGTTTTCTCTATAGTTGGGAATTACTTCATGGAGAAATTGAAGGCTGCAACAGGTCAAAGAAGGCGATTTTAATTCCAAGCTTATCTATAGAATGATTTATACCAAAAGGAAAAGGCATGAAAGAGACCCGGAACCAGAGTGGAGAGGGTAGTAATGACATCACTTAGAGTATCAATGGCGTAAAACTTCTCTAGGTGACATTCAATCACTTCGACTCCGTTCTTCATAGCTTGGGCTGTGGATCATGAAGGATATGCACCATGTACGATCAGAATTGCAATAGGTGGCCAAGGAGTGTTTGTTCTGATCCCACTGTTATACTGCTATAATATTTAATTAGTATAATAGGAGAAAGATAGGGAAAGAACTGGAGAAGAATGAGAATTAGAGGGGTCATAGGAGAGAGAACAGGGAAACAAGAGAGAACAAAGACTGAATACTGCTGTTATTCATTCATTGGAGGCAAATCATAAATCTCATTATTGTATTTACATAAGCAGGGAAAGGTTGCAACAATAATCACCACTAACTAACGGCTTTCTTTACCTACCCTATCTACCCTTATGTCAAGATCACATGTACATAACATCTACACAGATATACTGGAAACTGAAAGCTACAAATAAATATGTAAATAAATATATAAAACCACAAATACCTGTTTACCCTTCTGTTGTAACAAGTAGAGATCCAACAGTGAGGGAGATCAATGGAAAAATGACATGAGAGGAGAATGAGTTTTATAGTGTCGCATAGGGTTTTGTGATGCAGAGCAAAACTTAGCGTGGAGTGACTTGCGGCTCAAAATGCAAGGAATAATTTGACTTGTCTTCTGCAACTTTATTTTCCTAGGAGCGTGTGCTGTTGCTGCAATTTCATGCATTTTCCCTCAGTTTTCCTCTATTATTACAGAGGCATTCAGCGTTTTGTATTATAAATCATACAGGAATTGCAGAGCTTTATCAATTAATTTTGTAAAACATATGAAATGCATTTGTCATTTGTTGTGCATCCGTTGAATCTGTTAGGGTGTAATTTATTATCTATTGCTCTATGGCAATTTAGGCTGTGAAGACTCAATCAGCTCCTCGTCAGTTGGACAAAACACCATCACAAAGGTTGCTCCAAGTCATTGGTAAGCTTTTAAATATCTTTCTTTTGATTGATAGTATTGTAAGAAATTTTCAGCAATCATGGCAATGATGTGAGCCATTAATTCATTAGAAATTAGAAACTCCTCTGTTAATTTCTCTCTTTTCATGGGAAGAGTGGCGTGGCCTATCTGTCACCAGCCCAGTTGTTATCACTGCTGGGAAGGCAGGGGCTGGCCCAAATTTCTTACCATGACTCACATGTCTAATTTTTAAGGCAAGGAAGCGTTTTTTTTCTTTTTCCCGCTTTCAGTTTCTGGATTGCTGAATGTGCAATGATAGCCTAATCTTTGATATAATTGTTTGATGTTCCAATGTCAACGCTGTTAAACCATTAAATGCCTGGTTGTGCTGTTAGATTACTTGTATTTCCTCTTCTTCGTGCAGGAAAGGATATGAGAATTATTGTTTTTGGTTTCAGACCTCGTACAAAACAGGTAAAATTACTGGAGTAATTTTGGCTTTTGTATTTGCCAGAGATTATAATAAAGCAATACATGAGTTTCCATTAACCATATGAGTAATTAGTCATTTAAAGCATTGTAAAACTTCAAAGATTTTTGTTATTTCTCTGTTTTTTTTTTAAAATTATGTTATTTATTTAAATTGAGAAATCAAATCTGAATGAAATTTTTATTATCTTAAGATTTCTACTAGAACATTTTTCAACGTAAATTTAATTTAATTTCTTAGTAGAAAATCTAAATTGAATTTTATACTTTTGTATTCAAACCATTACTGGTAATAATGAGTTATCTCAATATGTAGTTTAGTACCATAAAATAAAGTTCTTTCACCTATAAAATGTAACCTCTATCAATGTTATTTGATATGTTTAGCATGACTTCTTAAAAAAATTATAAAAGGTAAAGGTGCATCTAGCATCTCAATCTTTTTTATGCTACATATAACACCCTGATCTTATTTTTTTTTGATATATCTAGCACCCTAATCTTGTATTTAATGCATCTAGCATCCTAAAGATTAGGGTGTTGGATGTAATTGAAAATGTAACATTGGGGTGCTGCTTGCCTCAAAAAAATAAGATCAAGATGCTGGATGCACCACAAAAAAGATTGGGGTGATGGATGCACTTGGAAAAAAAATCGGGGTGTTGGATGCATCTTCACCCAATTATAAACTATTCGATAAATTTTAGTAAGACTTTTATCAATGATTGATTTTGATCTTGTCAACCGCCAATTTTGTTTTAGATTATTAAAAAAAAGAAGTGGTTTTAGTTAAGCTAAACATAAGGAAGCTGTTGGAAGCATTGAGAAATTTTAAGCTGAACATAATGCATGTATTAGATCTATGGGTGTTTGGAAAACCCCATAATCAATTAAAAAGTGAAGTTTTTTTGTTCTCACATGCTTACCTCGTACAGCACAGAAGTACCTTTAAAAAAAAAAAAAAAAAAACTAATATAAACACATGAGCTTATTTGGAATAGCTTAGCAAAATAAGCTGAAAAGAGTTATCTTTCTCATGGCACTAGCAATTTTTGATACCCCTTTTCTCAAATGAACCCCAAAAATATTTAATTTTCCTGCCTTTTTTTTTTTTGGGGTTTTGCTTCAGGAAAATTTTACTTCATTTATTACTGAATTAATTTTATTTCATATAATGGAAGTGCTTAACTGTAAGGATTCAATTTAGTTTTCCATGAATAGTTTGTTTTTTAATAAAGGAAGAAAGAAAAAAGCTTGGTTCTCTTTCCAAGTTTTGTTTATTAAAATTCTTTTGCAGACAACATGGGAAATATATAACATGAAAAAGAATTTGCCACATCATGTATACGCAATGTTTTTAGAACTGGACCAGGTATTGAACCAGTTTTAATTAAATTTAATATAATTTTGAGAATATGTATTAAAAATGAAAATATATTAGATAATATATATCCATATGCTTGTCATGCATGTTAAATTTATAGTCAATCACACTTAACAGTACAATAAAAATAATTATTGCCTATTACAAATTACCAAATTACCAAAATAATCAAATAAGTCCTATTAATTGAAGTTTATATGATTAATATAACCACCAATAAATTGTCAAATATATGCAAAACTAAAGAAAAACCAAGTAAAAGACACAAAAACCCAAAATAAGATATTTTTGGGTTATTGAAAATTAGAAAAAGGGTCTAAGATCAGTTCTTCAGCTTCTCATCGATTTTGAGTGGTTTTCCACTAATTCACTTTTTGACTGGTTTTGGGGTGTTTTGGATTGGCATACAATTAGTTCCTGGAGTGACCGGTTGAGCTGGCTTGTCTGATCCGGTTCTAACAACATTATTTATAAGAAAATCTAGTTTGTTCCGCACAACCTACAGCACAACTTTTGAAAAATTTCCAATTGGACCCTTAGTGTGCTTTGACTTAGCATCTCTTCTCCGCCGGCCCTCAATAAAGAAATATTTTGTGAAATAATGTAGCTTGACTAATTTATTTTTTTATTTGATGATAATACTTTATTTTATTGAAAGAAAACTAATAAACAATTATTCTTTTTAAGCAGTTAAGTTGTAGGGCTATTTATAGAGCCTCAAATACAATAACTAAATTAGCTAAAACTTTAAAAAATAAAACCCAATTTGAAACAACATGAAATAAAACCTAACTTTCAAAATAAAAGTAATTACTACAACATGAAATCACCGTCACATGCTATAAATTTAACTCAAATCCCTTGCATCCAGAGGAAAATTTTCCACATTTCCCATCAGTTAGAGGCATTAATAACATTGTTTCTTGCTGCCTCTAAGTTCAAGTTAATGTTGACTTTCACCTTGTTCACACAAAATGCACAACAGGCTCTTGTGTTAGGGCCGTGTTAAAGATATTAATAAAAACAATCATGAGTTCACTTAGCAGCTTAAGGTTATTGAATTGGTGATTGATGCGTTGTCACAAAATATTAAGTAGCTATTATATTTGATTTGGAGATGGAGTTCGTCTCTTTTATAATTTTGGTTTTGTGTTGTGATAAATGATTTATTTGAGGGTAAGGAGCATTTGATTTTTCATTTATGTCTGCTTAATAATCAATAACTCTCATTCATTTTTTATTGTCTGTGATTGGGTTCTTATTGTGCTTTTTTAAGTATTCCAATTATATGACATCTGAAGAAACAGTTTATCAAGCTTGCATTTTTTACATTGCTGAACGGCAGTGAGAATGTTATCGACTTGTTGTAATGAAACAACCATTTAGGTAGATGTTCTTCATTTCTTCTGTCTAGTGTGGCATCTCATGATGGTTGTTAATTTACAGAGACGTGCAATATTTGAAGCATTACTGGGATTGACAAAACCTGCAAGACTTTGGGATCTCTATGCTTTTGTATCAGGGCCTTCTAGATCAAGCAACTCAAACCCAAAAGTTCGCTTACTGGATGAGTATTTTCGACTTCTTGGGAAAGGATCTTATAATGGATCAATCAATATGATTAGAAGTGGGTCCTTCACCTTGTCGAATGCCTATTGGAGAATAAGTAGTGTGAATTCCAACTATACTATGTGTCAGACTTATCCATTTGCATTGATTATTCCAAAGAGCGTTAGGTAATTTGTTGAGGTTCACATTTTGTTCCTTTTCCATTAGTCTATGCTTAAACAAAATTCAATCCATGGTCCATTTATTTGGTATCTTTGCCTGGTCCCATTGCTAGTGATGATGAAGTGCTTCAGGCTTCCACCTTTCGGGCAAGATGTCGGCTGCCTGTAGTTTCGTGGTGTGATCCTGGTATACGAGGATTGCTTCTTTTTTTTTTTTTTAATAGACGTTATTTATTATATTCCTCTCATTGTGGTCTTTTTCTCATGCTTTTTATAGTAGGGAAATTTAATGTGTTACTTACTTTACGCTCTAATTTGGTTGATGAGCTATAGGTTCTGGTGCAGTCCTTGCCCGATCATCCCAACCCTTGGTTGGTCTCATGATGAATATGAGAAGGTATTGTACACTACTTAATCAACTATATCCTCCTAGTATTTTTTAGTATTAGGGGGGACTAAAAAAATTATTTACTTTCATGGTACTGCTTGCAGCAACATGGATGAAAAGCTCGTAGCTGCACTTTGCAACAAACTGGATGATGGTTCACGGAGGTAAGATTGAGTTATATGTTGAGGGCAGCAAGACTAGCATTAATTATTATTTATGTGCTTATTTATATTAGGTTTTGATTATTACTATAATTATGTGTATCCTAAGATCAGATATAGATATTATGTCCTATATTAATATTTTATCCTATCCCATCTATCTTAGAAGAACAAATATGAGATATTAGGATTAGACATGATGCAAGGGTTAGCTTATTGACTTAAGTCTTCTGCTCATATATATATATATATATATATATATATCCATTGTACCCAGAAGGTTTATTCAGGGACTAAGAATAAACAGAGGCCGTGTTATCCCTTTGCCTTCAATCCTTCATTACCTCAGTATACTCATATACTAAAATAACGCTATTTTATATACTTGCGTCATGAATATATGCTGTCCTTTGCGACATAAAGCTAAAGCATCAGCTTTAGATGTGACACACTCATATACCAACTTAGTAAATATCTTGGAGTTCATGACCATATCAGATATTGACTCATCAGCATTTTTGAATTTGAATTCTTTCTCTATAAATCAGAACTGCTTTTTTTCCCTTAATCAGTTTTCTTTAATAATTGTATCATGAATTATCTGAGAAGCAGACAGCATATTATATGGTTACATCAGGTGTTTGCTTATATGACTTTGTGGTTAAGTTGATTTGTAGTTTTTCCTCTTTTAGGAAGCTATATATTGCTGACGCAAGACCAAGGAAAAATGCATTAGCTAATGGGGCCATGGGAGGTGGTTCAGAGTCATCATCAAATTACTTTCAATCTGAAGTCTGTCGAAAGTTTTTATTGTACTTCAGTGGTTTCTTTCGGTCATTAAGTTGTCATATTCTAAATGCTTCAATTCTTATTTCACATTTTCAGATAGTCTTTTTTGGGATAGACAACATCCATGCAATGAGAGATAGCTTTGCTAGACTTAGAGAGTACTTGGATACTTATGGAAGAGCATCCTCAGACGGAATGTCATCTTTTTTGGTGAGTCATCATATAAAGACTCAGATATTTGTAATATCGATCACATAGCAAGGGAATTAGGTGATATTCTTTCAAACAAGAGATGTCAGATACTATTTAACCAAACCTTGAGTTGAACATGCGATCTGCTGTTTCTTTTTTGAAGAAATTGAGGGAAGAATCTTTGTTGCAAATGTTGTATATGACAACTAGCTTTTCTAGGAATTTTCTCGCCAAAAGAGTTGCATAAAAGGACCAGGGGGGCAAGGATTCAAATTGATGGGATTCTTGTGGTAGTTAGCTTAATACCATAGTCAGCAACTATGAAGGGTGACACACTTAATTGAGGAAGCAGGGTGGTGAATTTAAGACATCTACCAATAGAGGTTATCAATCTTTTCTAGTCATTTTGAAGTTTTTTTAGCTATTTTCTTTTGTCAGCACATGTATTGGTGATATAATAGGAAATGGGGAAACTAGTTACAACATTGGGTTGATATGCACTCCTTATGCACACATCTCAGTTTTCTTATAATGCCAAGGACTTGATCATCCTAAAAGCTTAATGTTGTATGAGAAGTGATAGAAAGGCTTTTCAATATTATCTTCGATGATGGCAAGCTACTGAACTTCCGCAAGGCTGTCTTGATTGCTATGGGCTTGTATATCTTGAGATTCTTTTATGGGTTCTATTTACAGAGGAATGGTGGGTGGACATGGGGTGGAGGATTACTAAGTAGTATGTCTGCTTCAGTATCAACACTTGGGGACAGTGGATGGTTACTGCACGTTCAAAATGTCTTGGCTGGTGCAGCTTGGATTGCTGCTCGTGTTGCTATTGAGGAGGCTTCTGTGCTTGTACATTGCAGGTGCTTACCATGGTGCACTTTTTTATCTGTTTTAAAAATATGAAGTAAACTTGGATCTTTCAATGTTTACCCAACATGAATTTCAAGTTTGCTTAAAATAATGGTTGGTGTAGGAAATAGAATAATATGGAGAATAATTCTCTTGTATTTCATTGATCAGAATATACACATATATATACAAGTGAGAGGAGCCTCTGCATTAATGGCTCATTATGATAATATCATATCCTATCAAATCCTAATCATAATTACATAATATTTACATATCAAATCATATCATATCTCTACACTCCCCCTCAAGTTGGAGCATAAATGTTAAGCATGCCCAACTTGTCACACAGATAGTCAACACGAGTCCCATTTAGAGCTTTAGTTAGAAGGTCGCCTAATTGATCACTAGAACGCACATATCCAGTGGAGATGAAGTTCTCCTTAAGCTTGTCTCTGATAAAATGACAATCAATCTCAATATGTTTGGTACGTTCATGGAACACAGAATTGGAGGCTATATGTAGGGCAGCCTTATTGTCACACCACAACTTTGCTGGCAAAGTGGTTTTGAGGCCAACTTCCTTTAATAGCTGATATATCCAGATTATCTCACATACAGACTGTGCCATAGCTCGGTATTCTGCCTCTGCGCTCGATCTGGACACCACATTTTGTTTCTTGCTTTTCCAGGACACCAGATTCCCGCCCACAAAGACACAGTATCCTGTAGTAGACCGTCTCGTGGCCTTTGATCCACCATGATCCGCATCACAGAAGCACTCAATGTCTGTATGGCCATGATTTTTGTATAATATCCCACGACCTGGACATCCCTTCAAATAATGTAACACGTGCTCCAAGGCTTCCCACTGTCTGACAGTCGGGGATGCCATGAACTGGCTTAGTACACTGACTGGATAAGTAATATCCGGACGAGTTACAGTGAGATAGTTTAACTTGCCAATCATTCTCCTGTACCTCTCAGGATTCTCAAATGGTTTGCTCTTCTGAGCCTCAAGCATCCGTTTCTCATCATCAAGAGAATCATCGAGTGGTATGCTCCCATCAGCGTCAAGGAGTGGGTTGTGAACCATAGGAAACTTAGTCGGTGCTGCTCCCAACTTTCCAGTTTCCTTCAGGAGGTCAAGAACATATTTGCGCTGTGTCAGTAATATGCCCTTCTTGCTTCTCATAACTTCAATACCTAGAAAGTATGTCAGAGAGCCCAGATCCTTCGTCTGAAAGTGGGAATTAAGAAAGGACTTGAGGGACGAGATGCCCGAACCATTACTGCCTGTGATCACAATGTCATCTACATATACCACCAAGAGAATCATGCCAGCCGCTGTTCTTTGATAAAATACAGAATGATCGCACTTGCTTTGGCTCATGCCAAATTTCTGTACGACAGTACTGAACCGGTCAAACCATGCACGAGGGCTTTGCTTCAAACCATACAAGGACCTCTTAAGGCGACATACTTTCCCATGCTCCCCCTGAGCAACGAACCCAGGTGGTTGCTCCATATAGACCTCTTCATGAAGATCACCATGTAAGAATGCATTTTTAATGTCTAATTGATGTAGATCCCAATCATAAGTAGCAGCCAGAGAGATGAACAGACGGACAGATGAGAGCTTAGCAACAGGAGAAAAGGTTTCGGAATAGTCAATGCCATAGGTTTGTGCATAACCTTTAGCCACAAGGCGAGCCTTAAGGCGGTCAAGTGTGCCGTCAGCCTTAGTTTTCGGAGTGAACACCCATTTACATCCAATGGCCTTTTTACCCGCCGGTAAATCGACCAGGGTCCATGTACCAGCCCGATCAAGGGCCGCCATCTCCTCTTCCATTGCAGCACGCCAACCTGAGTGGGCCAAGGCTTCACGAATAGTTCTGGGCACAGAGATAGTATCTAGGGAGGCAACAAAGGAACTGGACACAGGAGACAAGCGGTCATATGAAACAAAGGACGAAATAGGATGGGCACAAGTACGTTTACCTTTGCGAAGGGCAATGGGTAGATCAAGAGAGGCATCCGGGTCTGGAACAGGAGGTGTCTCAGGATTAGGGTCAGAACGAGGTTCAGTGTTGCTCAACTCAGGATCTGAGGGCGAGGCGGACCAGGGAGGAATAGAAGCTGGCGTGGCGGTAGTAATCTCCTCTGACCGTCGTGTATACACACGATCAAATGGTTGAACGAGTGCGGGAGCGGGTGCTTGCGACGACAGTGATGGTGAGGTGACAGAGTATATTAGAAGGTCATCCTCCTCCGCAGGTGGAGCAGGTGGGGAAGAATGCGAGAAATATGGTGTGGACTCCTGAAAGGTGACATCTGCAGATACTAAATAACGATTGAGAGTAGGTGAGAAACAACGATAACCTTTTTGGACCCGAGAGTATCCAAGGAAGACACATTTAAGCGACTTGGGGTCTAACTTTGAAATAGATGGACGTACATCCCGCACAAAACAGACACACCCAAATATCTTAGGAGCAATAGGAAACAAAGGCTTAGAAGGAAAGAGGGTAAAAAAGGAGAGTTACCATCAAGAACAGAGGAAGGCATTCGATTAATAAGGAAGCAGGCAGTGGAGACCGCGTCAGCCCAAAATGGTTTAGGAACCTGCATTTGAAACAAAAGTGCACGGGCCACCTCAAGTAGGTGGCGATTTTTTCTTTCTGCAACACCATTTTGAGCTGGTGTATCGACACAAGACGACTGATGAAGTATACCATTTTGAAGCATGTAAGATTGGAACGAAGCAGAGAGATATTCTTTAGCATTATCACTTCGTAAGGTGCGAATAGAAACATTAAATTGAGTTTTAATCTCAGCACAAAAGGCACAAAAATGGGAAAACAATTCAGAGCGATGTTTCATTAAATATAACCAAGTTGTCCGGGAATAATCATCAACAAATGTAACAAAGTATTTAAACCCTGCTTTGGACTCTACAGGACAAGGACCCCAAACATCAGAATGGACTAACTCAAAAGGGGATGAAACCCGTTTATTGACACGAGACACTAAAGGAAGACGATGATGCTTGGCAAACTGACATGACTCACAATCTAAAGACGACAAATGCTGAAATTGAGGATAAACTTTCTTAAGAGAAGATAGAGACAAATGACCCAATCGACAATGAACTTCAAAGGGAGAATGACTGCTAGCGCAAGCTACCGCATGAGACACCCGATCATCCAGTATATAGTGCCCGCCAGATTCATAACCTCTACCAATAATCCGCCTCGTCAAAAGATCCTGTATCAAGCAATGAGAAGGAAAAAGTGAGACCCAACAGTTTAGTTGACGGGTGAGTTTACTGGGAGATAGGAGATTAAAAGCAAGTTTAGGAACATTTAGCACAGATGACAAACGGATAGAGGGTGTGGGATTAACAGTGCCAAAACCGAGAACTTGAGACTGGGAACCATCAGCGATGGAAACACTTGACGGATTGGCAAAAGCATTATAAGAGGAGAAGAGATGGCTGTTACCTGTCATATGATCAGTAGCCCCGGAATCTATGATCCACTTTGAGGAAGAAGAAGCAAGGGCAGTAGCATTATTACCTGTTGTAGCTGCGGCACTCACAGACGGTGTAGTAGATTTTAACTGGGCATACTCAGCAGCAGAAATCGTGACTGTGTCACTGGCTTGTGTAGCCACGTGGGCACTGGCTTGTATAGCCACGTGGGCAGAGTTATTCCGTTGCTGTTTATTCTGAAGTTTTCGACATGTGCGTTTTGTATGCCCCGGTTCTTTGCAATAATAACACACTACCCCACTGGAGTCAGAAGGGGCTCCCCCTTGCTTCGAACCACCACGGGTAGGCCCCCCGCAGTTATCAATGGGACTACGAGTCTCATAGGTGCCCTTACTGAGCAAGGCACTTGTAGGAATACTAGCAGCTGGTGGCAAGAGATTCTCAGCTCTCATTACTCTGGAAAACACATCTTGAAGGTCAGAAATTTCAGATCCGGATAAGATTTGAGACCGAACTGTGTCGTACTCAGGTGGGAGACCAGTAAGAAAGCTCATAATAGCCATTTGCTCTCGTTGCTTATGCTGAACCTTCAAATCAGCAGTAAGAGGCATTAACACATTCAGTTCTTCATACATCCTTTTAAAGTCCATAAAATAGGCTTTGAGAGGACGATCCTGTTTTTCAGAACGATAGAAAGCTTTGCAGACCTCGTAAACACGAGAGATATTTCCTTTTCCTGAATACAAAAAATCTAAATAATCCATTAGTTCCTTAACCAATTCACAGTGATTAATAGAGGGAATAATCTCACTGTCAATGGAATTACGGATTTGGAAAAATAGCCGTGCATCATCCCGCAACCAGGTCTTTTTGGAATCAGTTGTTGGAGGATCATCAGTCAGATGGTCTTCCTTCTCAATGCTCCGCAGATAGAGGCGAATGGTTTTACTCCAATCCAAATAATTTACCCTAGTCAACTTGTGATCAGTAATTTTAGTAATAGTTGGGACAAGCTCCGAGACAGATTTAATTTCCGCCATAGATGAAGTGCACTAACCAAAGCGAATGCGAAAGAGTGTTACACAGGAACACAAAGCACGATACCTGGATTACCTAATGAATACCAAAGCAGTAAAAAGGCCAACAGCTACACAGGGAGTTGCAAACAGAACTGAATTGCACAAACAGCGTGCCGGAGATGCGCCAGAAACGAAACAGAACGCCAGAAAGTAAGAACCGTACGGACTGTACGGACGCCGAGTGAGCAGTGCAGAGCGCCGGAAAAGTCAATGAACAGTGCAGAGCGTACGGACTGTACGGACGCGAGTGAACAGTGCAGAGCGCCGGAAAAGTCGATGAACAGTGCGCCGTACGGACGCCAAGTGAACAGTCAGGGCGGTGGCACCAAAGGAAGCATCGGGAAGAGGGTCACGAGCTCACACAGTAATTTTGGTACTGTAGCAACCGAAAATTAACACCCAGAAAGAAAATTCCCACGCTCTGATACCATGTAGGAAATAGAATAATATGGAGAATAATTCTCTTGTATTTCATTGATCAGAATATACACATATATATACAAGTGAGAGGAGCCTCTGCATTAATGGCTCATTATGATAATATCATATCCTATCAAATCCTAATCATAATTACATAATATTTACATATCAAATCATATCATATCTCTACAGTTGGAAAAGGAAAAGTATGATGAATGGAAAGGCTCACACGCACAAACACACACTGGCAGCGCCTCTGATTATTATAATAAACTGGCAAAACCTCAAATATGAGAGTCCTACTTGGATGACAGCTCTTAAAGATATGTTTGGGAATAAGTAAAATATTTCTAGGTAAAAAGAAGTTCCTAAGCCACAGATGAAGGATGTCATAAGCCCCTCGTATCTTCCTTGTCCTTTGATAACCCCTCTTATTTGTTTGTCTTTATCAATATCACTTCACTTGTATGAGTGGTAGATTTCTCAAAAAAAAAAAAAAAAAAATTGATTTGGTGTTTAATATCTTACTTTTTCATTTATCTAGTGATGGATGGGATAGAACAACTCAGTTGGTTTCACTTGCTAGTTTGTTGCTTGATCCATACTATCGGACATTCAAAGGGTTTCAGGTAAATGCTTCTCGTTACATGTTAATTTTTATGAATAGCTAGAGACACGTTGTTTGTTCCCTTAGCTTCTGAATTTTATTGAATCCTAACATAAATAGATGCAAAGGGAAAATGAGTTGTATTGCAATCCGTGAAACGTGTGAGAAGAAAATAAAATGCTAACCACCTAAATGACTCGGTGATCACATAATCTTATTGTAAAATCACGTAATCCAATTAAATGTCCTGGACTAAGATAGGGGCGGTGTGGGAGAAAAGGAAGGACTTGAGGTAGGGTATGATTGCTAAATACTCAATATTATTCACTTATTCAATTTATCAAAAAGATCACACAATTTAGGAAATCTGATAGAGTACCGATTATTGTGGGATAATGGGTAATGTGGGAAGTTAGAGATCTTTTCAGAATAGATATTTTTTTTTTAAAGTTATTCTAGATATTTTCTATTTAATAATAGGGAAAATGACAGTAAAAGAAATTTAAAATTGCAAAATAACAGAATATAACCCCATCTAGGTGTTCGAGCCCAAAAAAGGATTTTGAAATTCAGCCAAAAAGACAGAAATGCTCCTTATTTGAAAAAAAAAGAAAGTCACAACCCACTCGTCACGGGTTACCACTTACCAGATCTATGTTTAACTTTCTTAGAGTCAAAATATCCTACCCCTATGATAGGTCATCCATTCTCTATCACTACATCCATATTACACGTGTCAATTACATCTATGGCCTTGCTGTTCTGATTGTGCTTTCCTATTTTCTTCCACATGCAGGCACTTGTTGAAAAAGACTGGTTAGCATTTGGTCATCCATTCTCAGATCGTGTCGGCATGCCATCATTCACTGGAAGCGGCAACACAGCTTCTGAGTTGTCTTGGCAGTCTTGTGGAAATCACCCATCATCACCCATGCATCAATCATCAGGAGCATTCAGTTCCCAACCTACAACCTCTCATGCACAAACTTCAAGCAACTACTCTCCAATTTTTCTGCAGGTGTGTGCCTTGTATATACTCTATAGGTGGCATTTAATCTTATATTGTTTTATATATGTTTGCGAAGTGGGGAGTTAATATTCCTCTATGAACTCTTTTACTTCTTGTTTGACCTGATCAGGAACTAGGAAAGAGAGTAATAGAGTTCATAGAGGAACATTATCTCCCCACTTTGCAATCACGCTTGTAGTACACGTGTAGATTAAATGTTTGAATGCTTTAGTCTGAATGCTTATCCTAGTGTTTCTACTTCTCTTATTGCTTTAGAGGGAGATGAAGTGATGAACTATATATACGTTTCTCTTTTTCAGTGGGTGGATTGTGTTTCACAATTGCTGCGGACATATCCTTTTGCTTTTGAGTTCTCCTCAGTAAGTATTTCTTTACCATGTGTGACTTTTCTTGCAAATATTCCTGTATTTGATACTTTGTTTTCTGGGAGTGTTTCTGGTCTATCTACTACTGATGACCTATACTATGGTATGATTCAGGCCTTCCTGGTGGACTTCTTAGACTGTGTGCTTTCTTGCCGCTTTGGAAACTTCTTATGTAACAGGTATTTCTTTTTTGGAGGCAATTTTCTGTCGTACGTATTAAACTAATGGAATGTTACAGTATTGGCGTAATTAGAACCACCCTCCACCCTCTCTTTTTACGTGTTCAAGGTAAAAGACTGGGTGATTCCTTTTTCAAGTGGATCAGTAAGGCTGAAAGAAGTAACTTGTGTATAACCATAAAGTAAACTGCATTTGTGTTGTTTGTGTATAGACATAATATGATGTTTTCAATGCCTGATCTTATTCAGTGAGAAGGAGAGGCAGCAGTTGAATGTCTTTGAAGCCTGTGGATGTTTGTGGACATACCTAGCTGAGTTGCGTGCTTCAGAGAGTGGTTCTCATGTGCATTATAACCTCTTTTATGAACCGTCAAAGCATAACGGTGTTCTTCTTCCTCCAGCAGCAGCTTTGGCCCCAACTTTGTGGCCCCAATTCCATCTCCGTTGGGTTTGTCCTGAAGAATCACAGGCCGGGGAGATTGAAGTAGAATGTAGGAGGATGGCTCTAAATTTCTCTGAGATGAGGAAGGTAGTGGCTTTCATCCGTTTTATGGTTACTGCATCTTTCTAAAAGACAGTCCCTTTACCCATCTCTTCAATGGTGAATGGCCGTGTACTCATTTTTATTCCTGAAGTGCCGTAAGAAAGACTTTCTTTATTTTACCAAATTAAGATGTGATTGTAATTGGGAAGTTGAGGTAAATTGGGATGTACTAATTATTAATTTGTGATTATCAATAAAGGTTTTTTGAGTCTAGGAGTATGTTATCATGCAATTATATCATAGTAGTATTACAATTTACGGTATTTTTTTTTTTTCAGGTTCTCGAGTATTGCTAATATAGGTTGCCTATAAATCAAAAACACTATGCCTTGTGTTCTTTCTTTGTTTTTTTCACCTGATGCCTTATTTTATGTTCTCTTGATGTTGAGTTTCTTTTTTGTTTTTTTTTTTTTTTTTTTGCTTCTCGGTTCTTGTTCTATATGATAGTAGCATCTCCTTAAATCTGGAGACATGTATCTTTTCATGTAAGCAACGTAAATAACAGCCTGATACTGATTGTTATTTTTGTCCATGAAATGAACTGTTAATCTGTCTGGTCTTTTCTATTAATGTTGCAATTGACTTTCTGGTGGGATGTGATCAGGCTAAAGAAGTGGCAGAGAGGAAAGCCAAAGAAATTGCGAATGCCATGGAATCACTGAAAGTAGAGCTCAGAAGCGAGAAGCAACAAAGAATATCAGCAACGAATGTAGCCAAGATGAAAAACAAAGAAAATGTGGTGATGAAGAGGGCAATTCAGTCAATTGGATGCAAGGTTTGCTTCTCCAGCAGTGATGACAATACTATTGATATTGAAATCAGCCCAGCTGAAGCAGCACAAAACTTGAAGTATTCTCTAACCGGAATGGAATTTGATGATAAAAAGGATTTATCTGCTTCAGTAACAATTACAGAAGATGTCAATGATCCAAGCAATGCTATTAGTCAAGTATGTGAAACTCTATGCCCATTTCGTACTCAAGATGGACGCTGCCGGTGGCCCAATGCTGCTTGTGCACAACGTGTCAGCCAGTTTGTTGGTCTAAAGGCAAACTTTGATGCTCTAGATCAACTCTTAATTGATGATGATTATTTCAAGCCTGAGTGATCAGGGAATTCAGGTCCAAAAAGTATCAAGTTTTTGCTTTTTCTGTACTTTACCGTAGTCAAGAGTTCTATTTGAAATTCCAGATCACAAATGGGGACAGCAAGATTTGGCTTTCTGTACCAGGTCCCGGGAATTGTACAGACTAGAGTTAAAATCATGTCAGTACAGACATGTCTAGGAAGCTTGGGAAGATCAATTGATCATCGAGGCAGCCGTATGAGTAATTAGTTAATATTGAATACAGGCGTAGCAGGTGGTAGAAGCTGAAGCCTATTGTTGTATAGGTAATTAGCTCAAGCTCTGGGCACAGATAAATCAGTGTATATAGCAAGAATGTCGTGAACTGGTGTATGTTAAAGCAGCTATTCATTTGTGTTATAAAAAGAAGAGGGGGTAAAGGAACTTACTCGGTTTGGATTCAGATTGGGTTACAGCTACTCTTGGGTTATCTGCTAGAACCTAAGCCTAGATTGGCACAACAGGTGCACCACAAGAAAAGAATGGGCGAGTTGGTAGGAAAATTTTATGGTTGGGTCAGTTACTACTAATAGAGTTCCTTTATATAGACATAGATATGGATATTTTGGGAAGACAAAACATCCATGTTTTATGCATTTAAGGTGTGTCATGCTATCAGTTAGTTGATTTATCATGATCTCTATTATCCCCTGATGAGATCATGATCTCAATGAATGAGATGGTATACGGTATATATTTACAATATGGAATAAATACTGATTTAGTTTGTAGATATGATTATATTTAATCACAATGAAAATAATTCATATATATGCAATATTTGGGTTTGAATATTATAAATTAAGTTACAATTGGGAAAATTTCTATCAAATATTTCGGTCTATTACGAGCAAATCTAAAATCTAACAGTTTGTATTATGTTACCAACTTGACAAGCAATTCCCCGCACCATTGGATGATCACAGGGCAAGAGGTTTTGCATGGAACACTCTTAGGAAACAAGAAAAAGGTATCCGAACTAATTAGTAAAATCCTCGGATGGTGTGAAACAAGTTCTAGAGTAATAGCCTTAAAAATACGATAGTTTTTTTTTTGGTGAAATAAAAATACGATAGTTTTTTAGCATTAAAAATAGCCAACATTGTTATATTTTGTAAACTTTTAAAGCGATATTTCTTCAATAAAAAACTTTTCAATACCCATGACTTTTGAGTAAAAATTTTTAGAGCAAAAGTGGATCTCAAACCTTTATTTTTTTAATCCGTAAGGGAGTTGATAGATATATTTGTTAAAAATGAGAGGGAAGGGAAAGCATGTGCGGTTTGGTAGATTGGCACAACAAGTGCATTGAGAGAGAGGGGGGGGGGGGGGGAAGAGAACCAAACGTCCAACAATGGTTAACCAAATAATCAGTGAAAGCAACTTTTATATGTAGAGGTAGGTAGAGGATGGTTTAGGGAGGAAAAATATTCAGACCTTCAATTGCAGATTTTACACTTGTGAACTTTATTTTTGTTAGTCGTTAAAATGCTTGAATTAGGAAACCAAGTTTTTAAATTAGTTGATATAACTTTTGTACACTTTCACATTTTGTTTTACATATATATTATCATAGATATATGAAATATTTTTTATTTACTAAAGAATAAAGTCTTTTTTTTATAAGCATTTCATTTTTATTGTCATTTTTAAATTTTAAAAATATCTAAAAACATCGTACTCTACTTTGACTATTTGAAATATTTTATTTTTTATATTTATATTATGATGCATGTATATAATATTATTTCTATTTAATTGGGTTAATATGATTTTTGGTGCCTAAAATTTGGGTTTACTTTGGGTTTAATCTTTCAAATTTCAAACCCATGCTTTTAGTCTCTAAAATTTAGTCCGTCTTAAAATGTTAATTTCTAGAGATGTAATGGTGTTGAAATATACTAAAGTCTCAAATAACAACGTTAAAGTGGTGATGTAGATTAACTACTAGGTGACATCTAGTTGGATCTTGTGTGTATAATAGAAGAGTCAAAAAAGAGCAACTGCTCAAATTGCAGCTATTTAACCCCTGTTTTTTCTTCCTCGTTGTTTGTTTCAGGAGCTATTTACTGTGCTGTATTCTGTTATCCACATAAGATCTAGCTAGATGTCATACAGTGAGTTAACATCACTACCTTTAACATCAACAATCATTATACCTTCAAGGATTGACAGACATTTAAAGACAGACTACTAGTTTTGAAATCTGAGATACCAAAATCAAAATGGGTTCAAATTTAAAGGCAAAAAATTATATTAACCATATTTAATTACTCCTCTGTCATTAATATATGACCTAACTGTTGAGTTAATTTTAGTCTAAATATAAGGTTTATTATTCATATTTATAATATTTTTTAAATTACCCCTATAGATACTCTATCAAACACAATCAAATAGGAGAGGGAGAGGGGATATTAAGGAAGATGATTATGTGTTTTAGGAAAAAGCATGTTATATTTTTTATAATTAACTAATTTACCTAACTTTCTTAATTAATCAAATTAATTAAATAGATTTTATATAATCATCGGAAGAGTATTATTTTACCGTTCCTGCTTACCGTTTCAACCTTGACCCGGTGGTCTTCCGGTCCAAAGTGCAGTCCGCTTTTAAAACATTGCTCTGGAGAGCAGACTGGAGCCAACCTCCTCCTGCTGTTTCTCGAATTCCTTTGTAGTTTCCTACTCTTCACCCGACTTTCTATATTTTTGGTTTTTCGTCATTCACCACTGTTTCCATCCCACAGAGTTATCTCCGTCGTTTGAGGAATTAGTCCCATCGTCGAAATGGCCAACAACAGAGAAATCGTGATAAAGGAGGAAGACCCTAAAGCTCCCAGATTCGTTTTCCCTTTCTTCCCTAATTTTAAGTTTGATTTGCCTTTCTTGAAGACAAACTCTACTGAGGCCTCTGGTAAAGAGGTCGAGAGGCGAACTGGGACTGTGGATGATGAAAGTACTGGGAACGATGGTGCTAAGCCTAGCTTTGTGAGGTTTCCAAAAACCCAGTCGGTTGTTCCTCCTCCTTTGGAGACTGAGGCCGAAGAGTCTGCCAAAACTTCCAATCCTATTATACTCTGGCAGGTATTGTTTTGTTTTGCTGTTTTTGAATGCCTTCATTCGCTACGAGTTGTTGGCTGCATGTTTATGAAATCGAAGAGGTGGACCACATATTAGAAACTATTCTTTCATAAATTTACTTCAAGTGTTTGTCATGGTCTAGTGAAGGTGCTCTAAGTTTAAGAATCAGCAGCATAACTTCCAGGTTTTTATGATGGGACCAGAATCTGAATATTGAAGGGAACAAAAGATAAAGAACTAATAAATATTTAACAGAGAATCAGAATTGGAGTTTATTCGATCACACCAGTCTTTTTCGGAATTTTTTTGTGGAAGAATCTATATCCATATCTATATATCGATAAATTCTCTACAAAATTATTTGTAAGTCACATTGTTTATCAGTCATGAACAATGTGGTTCTCTCTATAATTCATTAGTCACAAGCTTCATGAGCAGGACATCTTGCATTGGGCTACTTGCCTCTCTTAATTATGTTAGTAATTTTATTTATAGTCTTCTCTCTGTTTTCTTACTATTTAAATTAAATTTCAATTTGGAATTTCCCATCGAAAAATGTTTTAAAATTAAATTATTCTCCCATTTAAAATTTTCTATCATGTTGTTATCCATCCTTGTATTAGACATGGAAAAATCTATAGTTAAAACTAAAGTTTATGCAATCACATATTGTTTAAGAACCACTGGATTTTGATAATTGAGAGGTTCAATGTCAATTTAAATCTCTTGCTGAACTCTATGGTATCCACAGATTGTGTTTGTAGATTAAGTTTGTCTTGGAAAAAATTCTATCCTAGAAGCTTTGTAATTTTTGTTCGGGACCAACCAGTCTTATTTAACTAACAATTTACTTTCTGCAGTACATCTGTGTTGGTACTCAAAAGTATTCAGTCAGTAATATGAGGCTCTGTTAGGCTGCCTTTGATATGTTTCTGATAGAATCACAGCTCTGAAATATGTATTATTCAACTAGAAATACTCCTCCACAGAGTGTAGGTCTAATGGAGGTAAACCTAAACAGAGAAAACACACTACCCTATGCATTCGAGAGGCATATGAACTCTCCCCAATTCACTCACCACATTTTCCATACCCTTTCCAATAACCAGGTTCCTGTTATATAGCCCCTCTCTCTCACTAACTGTCAAATGGAAAATACCACAAACACCCACACTCACATGGTTCACACCCCATATGTCAATAATATCCTTATACCCGACAGTTCCCCTGCATATTCTGAATGATCTCATGCTTTGGTTTTAAACCTTGACCGTGTGACACAACTGCATTAGTATTTGGATGATAAGATGATTCCCTAAACTTATGAAGTTAATTGAGTCCCCATCTTATTCGATGTGATGTTCAAGTGTTTTATCTGTGTCACTAAAAGTGTAGTTACCTGTATTTTATGTGTTCAATGCTTAATATGGCGTCATGGAATGAATTTTCTCAAGAAGAAACCCTGTCATCATTATTGGCACACATATCAGAAATTACAAACTTCCTTGCTCCTTCATAACTTGCCGTGCTCACGCATAAAAAGCTTTTTTTCATTGTAATATGAAAAGAAGAGAACAAAAGACTGACAAATTCCAACAAGCATCCAATTTCCAAATGTGTCAAGAATCAAGCACAAACTACAAAATGGCGTTACCAACATTTTGTTTTTTTGTGAATCAAACTTATTTGCTATCGAATTTTTTCTTCCTTGTTTTCTTTTTTCGTTTTTTTTTTTTTGGTTTTGGGTGAATAATTCTCTTTAACATCTTCTGTGGAAATTAAGGTATTTCACGGACAAAAATAAAATTAGGAAAAAAAAAAATTAGATAGGGACAAGATAGAATACATTGGAAGTAAACTATGAAAAAGCACCAAAGAAGTAGAAAAGAGAGAGAAAAGGGAGAGAATATAGGGGGTAGGAGAAAGAAGAGGGAGAACAACACAGCAAAGAGGAAAAAAAAAAGAGAAATAGAGACAGGTGGGGAAGGAGAGCAGAAGAATACAGAGAGGGGGAGTCTGGCCATCTAGGAGCACACTTCAGCAGGGAGGGAGGGATTTCGATGAAAAGATTCTCATGTACCTGGCTTGTGATGTGCACAGTGCCTGTATTGTGGGGCACGGTGCACCATCTTGAGTCTGAAGCGACACAACTTTGATGCGTTATATACTTTTAGCATGTATGGTCACTTTGCTATTGAAACAATGGATTTATGGTTAGGAATGATCGATGTATTACCAAGAAGGGTACCTTTACTGTAAATGCTTCTATGAGCACCTGACATATTTTCTCAATTTTATATTTTGGTTGGAGTGCCTTGAGTCATGGATTGAACCACATCATTGGTCAGTTGCACAACAGCTGGAAATCCAGTGTCTCACTGAGGGTTGGGGAGCTTCCCCCTATCGATGCCATTTGGGTTAGGCTTTTGTGGTCAATAATGTTTATTGGAGGTTCATATGGTTATTCACCGAAGGACAGATGTTCGTTGCTAGGTAGAAAATGCTGCCGCAGAGGGCAGGTTATTTGTGGATAAATTGGAAGAGACCCATGAAATTGAATAATGATCTAATTAATACTCTTTACTCTCGAAAGTATCCCAATGGGACAAGGTGTGTGAATGTATTACCCTGCGATCAATATCTTTAAAAAACTCATAAGAAATCTGACGGCCTGAAACCCTTGTAATATATGGTTCTTGTCGTCTTCTTTTTTCCCCCCTTGCAAAACTTGACTTGAACTGGAACATTGCGCCAGGTATAATTAGTTTATGTTGACTTTGATTGTCTTTTGGGCTTGAATATCGCAATCGGCTATCTCGAGACTATATGCCATCCTTGACTGATTGAATTTGTCCATGCTAATCAACTGGCAAAAGGTTTGGCTTGTCGTATATATGTTTGTCTGTATGTTTGCAAAATATAACTTTTGCCAATACACACACAAGGACGATTGACACGGTTTATGATTTATATGGTCACATCAAGCGATAATACTTTTGGACAGTGTTATCATTGTTTGAATCTATCATCTCTTTTTTGTTTTAACAAGTTTAAATATTCCCCAGCAATACCGGGGCAACTTATCTTTAGTATATAATTTTACTATTAATTCCAGGTTTATGCATTGGGAGGAATCCTTATTGCAAGGTGGATTTGGGCAAGATGGAATGAGAGGAGGCCTAAAGGGAGGAACCCCAATGATGAGAATTCCCAAAATAGGCGTTCTTCAGATGAGAATGAGGGTCGACCGTCTGGTAATGAATAGAGATTTTGATTTTCTATATAGCTTGGGTTGTTAGATGTCTGAACTCACTTCGACATCTTCTCATTGGCTGTGTAAATCGCCACTGTTTTATAAAGCTCCTCTTTAGCTTCATAGTATTACAAATCTTTTGCTTGACATGTGAACTTTGACTCTTGCAGTCCTATACTCCTCTTGAACTTTGATGTTGCGTTTATCATTGTATTAAAACCAACAACATTTGTTTCATGAATTGAATTTGAATGTATATGGGGTTAGCTCTTAATAATTATTCCTACTATTTATTGCCTTGAATAGCGTAGCAAAAATTTATCCCTGCTATGTTTAACTTCATTTGATCGCTTCTTTAAGGCTTTATTTACTAATTAAATTGAGAAAATTAGTTGAAATTAGTTAAATAGTAAAAACTCTTGCAAGTTTTCAAAGTTATTCTTTGGTTAATTCATTAGAGATAAAGGATGGACAAGTCATTTTAAAGAGGTAAAGGCTTTTTGGAAGGTTAATTATAAATGTTTTAAATTTTCTACTTAGCTTGCATTGAGTCCTTAAGTTGTTTATGAACTTTCATGAGTTTTTTAGCTCAGCGGCTATATAGACCATTCTTTCAATATCACTATAGAAGTACAACTTCATTTGTTTGGGACGTTTGGAACAAGTGTTACCTTTTAACTTTACTTTTGTCCACCTCTATGCATAACTTATGAAGGTCCACTGTCATGCTTTCTCAACGGTTGTTTGGTTAGCCATATTTCAACAGATGGAAGGGTAAACATGGAACCCAAGAAAAAGATGGAATGGAAATAATATTGGAATGGAGAAAATTAGATATGGATAGAATTATTAACAATTGGCATGGATTTTAAGGAATTGTACTGGCTTTAGTTTATATAGCCCCCCCCCCCCTTCAAATTTTAATCACTCATTAATGTAAATATATTGATTGGTTTTAAGCATTGATATTTGTAACTATAACAACAATGCCTTCCCCATGCAATGATGCACATGGTTGAATGTGAAACTCCCAAGCATTATTACGTTGGAAAAGCTAAAAAGCTCACTGTTTTGTAACGCATCATTTGAAGCCCTTGTCAATAAAATAAAAGCGACTTATTTGTAAGACAGACACAGTGAACAGAGACAGATATGGTGAAATAAAGCAACCTGAGACGTGATATTGTGAAAATTTTGAAACTACAAACCTCAACGTGAGAATCGTTCTCAGATTATGTAAGATAGTGATTGAAGGCTCGCCATGGGGCAAAAGCCAGTGATGTAATGAAAAGAATTTCACTTAATGTGCATAAATAGCAATTATGTAAACAAAACAAAGATTTGGAGCAATTATCTCATGCATTTTGGTTAATCAAAGGCTTTAGATACTCATGTAGGGCTTGTTTAGAATAAGGATTAAAGTTTTTAAAAGTAGTTTTTCAATTATGATTAACGGGATATTAGATGAAAGTTTTGTTTTGATTTATATAAACGTGATTATAAGTGTTTATATTAAATAACTCCAAATAAACATTATCCGTTTGAAACAAGAAGGCTGGCAATTTGTACCATATGTAACTAAACTTTTCGAAATTTACTAATGATTTTATATTACTACTCTAAAGTATGTAATAAACTGAAACGTTAGCTATTCTTCGAATCTTCCAAATGTTCCTCCTCAATTATTCTGTCTTGGTAAGGTTCAACGAAAGTATTAATTAAAAAAATTTACATGACAGTTCTTAAAATAAAAGATATCAAAACAGCTATAAGTGAAACCCATGTAGTCTGAACATCACATAAACTATTTGAATAAAACCTGTGTTGTCTAAATAAAAATATGCGACTTCTTACCCAAAAAAATAAAAATAAAAATATGTGACATCCAAATGGAATATTTACATACAATCTAGCATGTTGAAAAATAAAAGTAGGAATACAGGCTGGCCCTACAAGGCGATGGGCTTAAAAAGACCAACCTTGTGGGATCAAAATTTCAAAAATATATCAATTTGCTAGGCCTGGCCTTCAAGCTGACAGGTTCATGACTGGCCAACAGGCTTTTGACTCATTTTAAAAAATGTTATTTTTCATATTTTTATCAAAAAAATAAAAATAAACTGATGAAATTATTAATATAAGACATAAATGTGAATAAAATTAATTTCTATAAAAAATAAAAATAAACTAATGAAATTATTAATATAATATATAAATATGAATAAAATTAAGTCACAAATATAAAATATCATCATATCTAAATATCCATAAACATCCAAGAAAATTTAAAACATCCATTAACAAGATAATAACATCCAAAAGTTTTATTAATAGTGCAATGTGCAATGGACAAACACTATTATTAATTTTTTAAAACTTCATCATTATTATAATCAATTGTTCTTCTTCATGAATATGCTCTTCTTTCAAAGAAAAAATATCAACTTTTTTTTATAGGAATTTCACTTTTAAATTTTGCAATCTAGCTATTATTTTATTTTAGTTTGAGAAGTATTATTGTTGAAACTCATAAATTTCTAATTCCAATTATAGAATCTCAAGTTATGTAAGTATAAAAATTACTCTCTTATCAAATATATATAGTTTAAAAACATCAACACATAATATAAATCAAATTATTATTAAAGTCCAAATTAACCCATTTTTTAAAATTTAATTTTATTGTCTAAAATTAGATCAATCAAACCATTTTGTGAAATTTAATTTCAAAATGATAATAATAACTAAATAGTCTAAATATCATTAACAACATAAAAATAATAATATTAGAATCATACAAAAAAATTTAAAAAAATTATAAAAGGGCCTAAATGGGTTGGCCCTCGATCCTACAAGACTGACCAGTTTAAACTATCGACCCTATAGGACTAGTCCTTTTAAGACTATTTTTCATTTAAAGGGAAAAATTCTAAAGCCGACCCTCACAATTTTTGTGCCTCAGCTTGTTTTCCAATTCTATTGAAAGAGGATCCCTTCCCCAATTAGCTATTAGATATCATGTTAAATCATGTCTCTTTCTCTCTCTCTCTTTTTGGGTAAAAATTATGTTTTTCTTTTAAAACTGTATACGATTTCTCAAAAACAAAAACAAAAACAAAAACAAAAATTAGATCTGATCTAATATCACCACCCATAAAACCATGGTATTGAAATCCAACTCAAGGTTGGCTAGTCGACTGATGAATTGATAGATCAGTCTTCTATCCAATTCGATCAAGAGTTTTCAATAAGTTGACAGGATTGAATTATATACATATACACACATATATTAATTCCTCACAAACCCTAATCACATCAAGGCAGAAAAAGGTTACGTCTTCCTTTTGGGCAGCAATGACACTAGAGATCCCTTCTCACTTTCCTCAACTTATCACCCTTTTGTTTGAAACATTAGTTCCTTTGGTTTTTTTTGTGTTTTTTTTTGGGGGGGGGGGGGAAGGACGCGAAATAAGCTACTACATGCTTTGCACAAAATGTCACAGAAACTTGTTAAACTGTGGGGTGGAAGGAGAAAATGAATTGAAATGAATTAAGAAAAAAATAAATTTGTACATCATCTTAAAAGTAAATCAATCAAGATATTCAAATATTGCTATGCAAAGAATGTAGTTGATACATGAGTTCTTTTCGGAGTTGGTCTCTCCTTATTTTTCCCGTCGTAGTGAGTGGAAAGGGCTTCCTCCACAGGATAAACATTTTTGGAATCTTAAACCTGAAAAGAAATCAATGGAAAATATGTACCATATATTAAATTAAGTCACATTATTTATAAGTGACTCGTTCCTCAAACTTTATGCAATATACAAAAGGCACATCTAGTTGAACAGGAATCGCTAAAACACTGATGCATACTTAAACGAGCTTCCTCGCTTCTCAGTTTCTCTTAAAATATTATTTCCTCCTATTCTTAATATAAGAACTATATAGATAATTTGTGGATATTAAAAAAATTAGTTGATTTAGTCATTCATATCAAATGTATGCCGGTTTCCAAAATACGCTTTCTAGTCATATGTATTGTAACTACCCCAATACCCCTTAATGAAAACTTCTATGTGCAATCAATACGTTTTGGAAAAAAAATTATAAATTTAAAAGACAAAGTGAATTGAAATCTAGTATCTAGATCAAAATGAGCCCCTCATCTAACTCTGATATCTAGGATCAGCGGTAGTCACATTGAGTAGCCTGACATGCCTACATCCAATATTAAATAGCATGAGATACCTGCTTAAATTCTTTTCTATACAATATTGCCGAAGATTCTCTGGTGACAAGTGATGATCATCTGAAACAGACTGCTCTGACCATTGCCAGTCTTTTCTTGGTTGGATACAAGCAACTACCATTTCAGACAAGCGAGCATTAGGTATTCCAACAATTACTACAGCAGCAATCCCAGAATGTTCCAGAAGAATTGCTTCAACCTATTTGAAATAAACAGTATGCTTAAACCTCAATGAAAATTTCGAAGACCACAAATCAAGTAAGATAAAGAATTGATAAAGACAGGGAATCAATTTAATTTAATGACTTTGGTGGTCCTTATAATTTCATCACAGATAAATTTCTACAAGTGGTGTCATCTTAACTGGTTAATCATGTGCTATCTTGATATTCTAAACATGCATAGCTCATCGACAAAACATAAGATTTAAAGACAGAAATTTTGCTAGTATTAGACCAAGTCTTTATGAAACTATAAGGTACAAAATCATAAATTATAAAAATTATTTGTAAATCGTATAAAACTGAAAAAAAAAAAATAATAATGACACCATTAATTTTATGGGAAAATCACTATCAGATCTTAAGGAAAAAATATAATAATCTAAAAGTCTTAATCACAAGGGAGCAACCTGGAACTTCTTGTATTTTTTGCTCTAAAACTTGTTATTCACTAGTCATGGAACTTTTTAGTAATCACATTCCTTCATTGGGACCATATATTAGTTTCCCCTTCCCTTCACGAGAATTCTATATAATAATATCATTCATATGAATATGTTTTATTCTAGTTGTGTGTCCTTTTTGAAATATGAAGCTTTAAGAAATAATCCAAATAGGTTTATTGTCACTGTTTCTACCTCTTCAGGATAGATGTTCTCTCCACCACTCTTGATCCGACCTTTTGTTCGCCCCAGGAGCCACAAATTACCGTTTTGATCAATTGATCCAATGTCACCTGTGTCAAGCCAGACTTCATTTGAGGGATCTAATGAGCTTGTCGAAGTTTGATCCCAATATCGGATCATTACATGTGGTCCT